GACGTACGAGCAGGGGTAAAGAATAGAGGGTGGGGGCGCAAAGCACTCCCAGAGGAACACGGAAAAAGACGCATCCCATCAACAGCACGGGCGGGGCGGGGCGAGTTGAAGAGCAGGCTCACATAGTGAACCCGGAAAATGCAATCCCTCCATATTTTTTCCATCCCACCCAACGACGAACAGGACGAACCGCAACCACAATCACGTGGTCGAGCGACGTTACCAATCCCCCCCCCCCCCTGCTTTATAAATTTCAGCCCACCGATCTTGTTATAATCCCCTCGCTCCGCGCATATTGCCCCACGCCGCCCCCAGCCCGCGGCCCCCGTGACATAACGCCGCCTCTGTCGAGGGTATTGCAGGACCACTCATTGCGCGGCGGCCACCAGGGGAGGGAAGGGCAGCGCCTTCTGTAGGTATCGAAGTGAAATGAAATGTGCAGGAGGAGGATGGACTGGGGACACATCGCAATAGGCGATAGGATACGAGGTGTTGGAGAAGAGGCAGAAATGGAGAGAGAGGGGGATGGAGAGAGGAGAGAAGAGAGGGAGGGAGAGAGAGGGAGAGACAGAGAGAGACCAGTTTCTCTGAGGGAGAGTGAGGCAAGAAGCTGCTCCGTGCTGTAAGCTTCCTTCTCGCACGCCCTCCGTTCGGTTCGGTCCGGCCTCGCTGCCTCTCGAACAATTGCGCGGCTCGACGCACCGCTACCGGCCCAGGCTGGCCGTGCTGGGTGGGTCAAGCCGGGGGAAGGGGTCGGCGGGGCCCGGGGGTCCTGGGCGAGGGGGGCAGGAAGGGACTTTGGAGGAGCAGTTAGCACTCTGCCATGGCAGGGTGCCTGTCCCCCTTCCCCATAGGGCACGCTACGCCACGCCACGGCAGAGCGGCGGTGACACGCATTGTAGCCCCACCCCTGCCCTTGCAGCCCCCGAGGCCTCTGCTTGTTGCGCGCCTAGAAAGCCCTTTGCCGCGTGCCACCGCCCCCCCCCCCTTACACACACACACACACACACACACACACACACACACACACACAGACGGGCGAGCGGGCGGGCGGGCGCTGTCAGGTGGCTGAACACACATCGGCGCACATCACTACAGTCGCCGCTGCTCACCAGAAAGTAGATGGCGAAGGGCATGACGACGACGGCTACCAGGAGATCGGCCAGGGCGAGGCTCACGATGAAGTAGTTGGTGGCGTTCTGCAGGGTCCGCTCGCGAAACACAGCCAGGATGACGAGCACGTTGCCGAAGAGGGTAAGCACGGGGAAGGCTAGCAGCGCCAGCGCCCAGTACTGCTTGATGATGCCCGCGCACGGCACCAGGGTGCCGTTGACGTTGCAGAGCGTGCCGTTGGCGGCGAGGCTGTCGTTGCCCCAGTCGCCGTACGGGTCCTCGCCGCTCAGGTTGAGGTACGCGCGCACCGCGTCCTGCGAGCCGCCGCCTCCAAGGGCGCCCCCCACCACGGCGTCCCCCCCGCCGGGGTCCATGAGCTGCTCGGGCCACACCAGCGCCTGGGCCACGGCGCGGGCCAGCGCCGGCCCCGGCGACGTCGTCAAGTTGAGCGCGTCGTCCATGGCGGCTACCGGCGGCCGGGGAGGGGGCCGCTGGGGCCGCTGGGGCCGCTGGGGCCGCGGACACGGCGCCGCTCCCGCCCGGAGCTCAGTGTCCTCATGGCCGCTGTCCTCCGCCCCCTCCACACACAACACACACACTCTGACACTCACACCAGGAGCGCGACGACGCACGGCACGCGCAGGGTGGTGCTCAGCGGGCGGACAGCGCCACAGGCAGCAGCCCAACCGCTCGCCGCCCGCGCTGGATCGCGACTGAGTCGCCCCGCCCGCGCAAGGGCCACCCCCACCTGCTGCGGTCCCCGCCCCGCCCTGCTCCGCCCCGCCCCGCCGGATGCACACCGCACAGCAGCCCCGCGGACAGAGAGGGGCAGAGAGGGAGGTCAAGCCTCCGCTGTACACGCGCGTCTTCCACTAGTCAGTCAAGTTCGCGGCGCAAAGACGATCCGACAGGCTCTACACCACGAGACTGTGTGTGAGTGGGGGAGGGGGAGGGAGAGG